CCCATATTTCGCGACGTGTCTGCTACTGCAATGGTTCCTAGTGGGTATGACTAAAGGGAGAGTTGCCAACCGGAGAGTTATCTTGGAGAGTTAAGATTTCGGAAATTGAATCTTTCAGCAATTCAGGTTTTGGAAATACTTTTCCAGATCAGCCAATATAGGGCTTTATATTGGAAAGGTTTTCTGGTTCTATCTAATACGAAAACTGTATCTGAATGCTGGGCTTTGTTGATAATCCAAGTGCATGAGCATGTAATAATTTATTTACTCGTACTAAAGTACTACTAGTTTCTACTAGCGTGAGTTGTTAAAGCTGAAACTTGAGAAAAAAGTAAATTCACAATGATTTACTAAAATGTGGAAGTTTTTTTCAAAAAACTGACGGACATATTAAACTCTCTTCATTGGCATTGCCACAATCATGAACGCGGTGAGTTATAAAGAATGATAACTCTCTAACATCTTCATAATGTTAACGAGAGAGAGTTACATCAAACATAAGTTACATAACTCTCTCATGTTAGTTCAAGGAAACGTAGGGAGAGTTAAGAAATTGGGTGTGGTCGTTGGGAAAAGTGGGCGTGGTTCGAACATAACTCTCCGAAATCATAACTCTCCACTTCCTAACTCTCCGTTTAGCCGGTCCCGTTCCTAGTTAGCCCCAGTGAACTCGTTAAATATACTGAAACGATAACTCCGGGTAAAGCCAATAGAGCAATCTCTTGTAGGTATAAAACAATCCGATCGATGTTTTTCAATTTTTACACGTAAATGCTCATTTTTAGTCTGTGGTAAATACCCTACTTAAAAGCTAAAAACAAAATGAAAAGGTAAAATTGATGCAACTACAGTCGTATTATTCCGTGTTAGTTCAAATCCCTTCGTCGACAGTCCAGAAAAACAAAACGTTTGCTGTTGTTTCTCCTCGGGAGTTTTTCTTATTTGCATTCGTCAGATTTGCTTATTGAAGTGTTTCTAAAATTTGCTTATTCTGAAAGACCACTTGCCCTAGTTTCTTTGGGCCAGAAATAGTCGGCCGAAAAATTATGAAATTTTAACATGAAATGATGCCGACTTTTCGTACTGAATTCAGTGAATTTCCGCGTAGGGGCCTGGACCATACCTACAAGACGGACTTCAAAAACACAGCCGGAGTCATTGTTCCAGTTTTTATACAATTCACTAGTTAGCTCTTGTGCCATAGATTCGTTGGTCTTGCAAAAACTTCTTAAATCTCATCAACATTGTAGATTTATGGTGAAGGACTTCAAACTAGATCATTTCAATATGTAAGGTAGGTACATTTTTTTAATGCCATCAACCTTTCCTTCAACATTGAAAGGAGGTAACGTAATTGGCCTAGAATTGGTAACGACGCCACCTTGAATTATCATGATAGTCTAATGCTGTTCCGTGTAAATAATATGTACCGCGTGCTGGCTAATTAATCAAAATTTTGATCTCAACAAGTCTAGACAAAATTCCATCACAGCATGAAAGAGCATCACAAAATCAGTAATATTCCAAAGTTTCGTTGCGAAATGTTGTAAAATGCGAATAATATAGCCTTGCAAAATTTGCAATTTTCAGTAATTTTGTATTACGAGCGGGAAACGGTTAGTGGTACGGCCAGGGATGGATCCAGCATGATCTGGTAGGGGGTGCTCTGCCAGCCCTGGTGCCGATTTGTGTCGGTCATGCATGTGTGCCGCACGTCCATCAAAGTCTTGCTTGACTACTGTATTTGAATTTTAATTGTTGTTCACAGTTCGCTTATCTGTTATTACTCAAATTACTGTATCTCATTTTGTCTCTAATAATTTTTTTGCTTTATCGTGAAAAATATCACCCACCCCCCCTGCACCCATTCTGGCCAGGGCTAGGGGGTGCACCTCCCCCCCTGCACACCCCAGTAAATCCATTCCTGGTGGTACCACGGAAGTCGTAACCATTTCCCGTTTGTAATACAAAATGACTGAAAATTGCAAATTTCGCAAGGCTATATTATCCGCATTTTACAATGTTTATCTATAAATAGCTATCCTTCGTATTTAACTACAATCTTTGCCAAAAACTATGGGACATGTGCTGTAATTTCACACAATTTGAAAGGCGTAGCGCCCCCGTTCCCCCAGTTCAATGTTGGGCCGACAAAAATGTGATGTCTGGTTGCGAGACGCCAACATTGAATCGGGTGGGGGGAGGGAGGGTGGGAAAATGTATCACGCAATGGTATATTACAACCAAATACATGTGAAAACTACATTGTCCCAATCTATATTGTCAAAGATTGTAGGCTGTATACGAGGCGGCAAATTTATTGCCATGCAGAATGTATTTGTTAGAAACCCCATCTTGATACATAGCAACGACGAAGTATAAATCGCATGTATATACAAATGTATTCACAACGTATGGGCCTTGGTGGGTCCAATATAGTATACTGCATGCATGGGCACACATTAAGGCTGGGGGGACTTGCTCGCCCCCTGGCGTAGTCGCAGGAAGTGGGGTCTGTTATGCAGAATTGAATATCATATTTATATTTATAGCGATCTTATTGATGGACTTATCAAACTGATGAACAGTAATATTTCATCTCCAGTCAATCTCGTAAGTTGTTTTTTTTTGTCTTTGTGGCAGAGTTCTGCCGAAATTATTTATTAAATTCGAGACAGTATTCGGATACAGTTGGTGCAACGTCCCGCCCCATCCAGTTTTTCTTGAGTAAATTTCAGGCAAAATATAAGATCATTGAATGTTGCTTGCAACACACACTACATATGTTCATACGAAAATATACTAAATGTAAAAACCGCATGAAAACCATTTTGTAACCCACTTTTATAGGCAATGTAAAATGAAAATGAAACTAAATCAGGTTATCTGTAGCTTTCCACCCCTTTCAACGATTAGATCCTCGTAACGATCCTTCAACACAGTATATATACCTCTTCATTCTCAATAATCTTTTGACAAAATGTATTTGTCGAGTAATCGGTTTTTGGTATGTTCGTGTTATTTTACATCAATACGACGTGTAAATTTCAATTTGTAGGGAAATCCAAGTGAGCACACGATCAAAGAATTTGCGGTTATGATTAGAAATAGAGTTGGTATGTATATTTGGCTTTTATGCAGCATGGTGTTCAGTCGCTCTTACCTTATAGCAAGCTCATAGCAAGGTCTCATAGCAAGGTCTTATAGCAAGGTCTTAGCAAGATCTTATAGCAAGGTCTCATAGCAAGGTCTCATAGCAAGGTCTTAGCAAGATCTTATAGCAAGGTCTCATAGCAAGGTCTTATAGCAAGGTCTTAGCAAGATTTAGCAAGATCTTATAGCAAGGTCTCATAGCAAGGTCTTATAGCAAGGTCTTAGCAAGATCTTATAGCAAGGTCTCATAGCAAGGTCTTAGCAAGATCTTATAGCAAGGTCTTATATAACTAGAAGGCCCGTGTTCCCGCGGCCAAAAATAGGAAAACACGGCAAAATAAAACAAATGCTGCTTGATTGTTTATATAAAGATGTGCGTTCATTTGGCTGGCAGGTACACGCTCTCAAAATGGTGAAATTTCTCGGTTGCTGAGATCTAAGCAGAATTTTTCCGAGACCGTAGCGGACACGTCTCTGTAAGCGAGATAATAGAGAGCTTTAGATTTTACGAGGTTCGTTTATTTTACGCCAGATTCTTAAGCCATGCATCTTTTTGCCCAATCATGTGCTGACGCCTTATAATCTCGCAGCCGTGGCCAAATTGACCACTGGATTTTTGGAAGTCAAGTAGTAAAACAAACATTCTAACCTTCTTTCCAACTTTAATCCTAGACTAATTTGAGATCGGCTACTCGAATTGTTGTCCTCCATTTCTTCCCTCCGTTGTCATTTCCATGATATTTAGATCTTCTTCGTCTCTCTTTCAGTCCATAATATCTTCATCTTTTCTTATTATGCCAACTCAGCCAGATTTCTAGACTCCAGTTATGCGACTTGGACTCGAGTCTCAATTTTTGTGACTTGACTTGTTACTCAGGTTAACGACTTGTGACTTGAATTGGACTTGCAAGACATGATTTCTTGCCAATGCAGTAAAACATAGATTCGTAAATATCTATAGTGAAAGTTAACTTTTCGACTACTCACACTGGAAATGTATAGTATATTAATGTAGAATTGTCACGTGTGATTCCCCCATTACATTGTAAAAAGTACCGTATGGAATGGCTTGCTATACTTGACTTTGTCACAGTCAAAATGACTTGTGACTTGACTTGCTACTCGGAATGAACGACTTTGTTATTTGACTTGGATTTGCAAAATGAAGGTTGCTAGCAATTCTGATCTCAGCCTTCCTATCTAATCCTTCTTCCTATCTTCCTATCTGCTACCATTCAACGAAACCCCCATGCAGGATAGGTTCTGTACAACTGCACCAGCTTCAGCTTTGAGGCTAGAGCACAAGTCAAGTCTGTAAAACGCTTACATGAGCTATAATCAATCTTTTCGTTTTAGGAAACAACAGCAGTAAAATTGTTACACAAGAAGCACAGCAAGATGATCCAAGAAAAAGAAAACCAGACATAAACAAAGCGAAAAAATATCTCAATTGGGAACCTAAGGTACAGTATACACCAAATACTTTCTGACGAGAGTCGTGAGTATTTTATTCCTTTGTACTCCTTCACATTGGTTCTAAAATGATGAGAATGTCTCGTACTCACTTGTTTCTAACCATGCAGGCATTATTCATTAACTCTGCAACAATTTTGCGATTTCAGTTTTCATGAAAATTATTATTGATGGGAATAAAAAATGAAAATCGCCTCGAGTCGCCTGCACCGTTCGTAAAACCTACTCCAAAGTTAATAAATATTTTAGTAATATGATATTATTTTGAGCTAGCTCATGAAGAGTGGACTGATTTCTACTGGAGACCAGAAACGTAGAGATAAGTTAAAGCCCGCATGCAGTGTGCAGCATGAAAACGCGGCCGTCAGATCAGATGGACTTAGAAACGACGATCAGGCAAACACGACGACGCGGTCTCAATTTCAGCTGGCGAAATTGAGTACTAAAGAGTAAAGAACTTGATTGCTGTAATACATTGAAGCTTTTAAAAATAACCTTACACACGGCTAAGTTTGGAAAAAACGATCCGGTATGTAGTAACTCCTCCAACGTAGCAACAGGCATTCACGTTGCTCCAATGACGTGAAAATCTTAGTTTAACGTTGTATTCAGAATGACAACGTTGTTGAGGATACCCCTGGATGAAGAATTTCTTTGTTTCGATAGCGGTGTCTTTCAGTTCGCGTCGTGTTTTCTAGATCAGTCTATTTGCGTAGTTCCTCCCGGCGTGAATACTGATCTTGACGGATGATATGTACGAATGCAAATTAGTTGTCCTTTGTTTGTTGCTGAAAATGGTGGTAGTAGTGGTGCTTTGTGGTAATTATTAATGGTAAAGGTGATAATGTTGGTGCTGATGGTGGTGATGATAATCATCGTGGGATTATGGGAAGGTGATTGTCTTGGTGATCATGGTGGTGGTGGTGATGGTGGTGTGATGATGAAGCTGATGTTGATGGAGGTGATGTTTGGTGATGGTTATGATGATAGTGGTGACGGTGTTGGTGATGGTATGTATAAATACAACAGACGAAAATATTAGGAGAACTGTCAGGCATTAATTGTTACCACGACACAGAAATAATAGATATTTATTATTTCTATATGTACCACGACATTGCCACTGTAGGTTACGCTACTGCCACCTTAGTTTATGGTACAGTTGTACGTTGGTTCGTCTGGTTAGTTTGCAATTTTGCATGTGCTTATACGCGTTCACACTTGAAATTTTTGTTGTGATTTCTAGTGCGATTTTTTTTCTGATAAACGTGAACGAGTGAATTTGTGAGTATATGCGCAGGCTGCATGTTTTCATTAGTTGGCGACACTGCCTTGATGTCAAATCTGGGGCTGTCGGCGAGCATCGCAGGCCGATTAGAGCAGTCGGCGGTAGTCGCAGACACTGCGATAATAAAACAAATGAAAACACCGTTGGCGAGTTGTCGGCAACAGTCGTAGAACACAAACCTCGGCCCCAGCTCCTCTACACGTTTACGGAATCATGAAAACAACGAAGATCGCCGACGAAATACGATATTTGAAAATTGCATGCCGACGTTCGCGGAATAGAAATCGGTGACTTTGGGCGGGTGTTACTGAGTAATGAAAACCAGCCTATTTCACTCATCCACTCGTTCATATCCATCGGAGGGAAAAAACGCACCTAAAAGTGGAAGGACATTAAGGCAGATGATCTGGAATATTCATCTCTAGTGTAATACGGTCCGATCGCAATGAAACATTTTAAAATGTTACAGGTCGACCTAATGCGTGGACTTGACAAGACTATCCGGTTCTTCCGCAATGAGTTGGCTAGACTTAACGAGCAAAAAGAGTTGTGATGGTCAAGTATGCTGCTCTATAGACGAGTTTCTTCAGATCACAATGGGTGAACCACTACCCGAACGACTAGCAATGGATTATCATGCATCTATCTTCTTTCTGTGGAGAGCAAGGGAAGTGGTACACGACGAACGCAAACACCAATGGTACACCATAACCAAATGAACGTACACGCGACTTTCTATCATACAAGAAGACATCAGGGACTTCAGATAAAGAACATAACTGAATACAATTATAAAACCCTTTCTAACATAATAACGTGTTATGGTAGAAACTTTTGCTTGTGATATTCATTTTAAAGTAATTGGTTTTGCTATGAGGGGAAAAGAACCTTTAGACTATTGGTTTTGAATTTAGTAGTATTTCAAGAAATCAAATCCGTGCCAATTTCAAAGATTTTCCAGTCTTTTAAGACTGGAAAATCTTTGAAATTGGCACGGATTTGATTTCTGGAAATACTACTGAATTCGTAACCAATAGTAAAAACCAATAATAAATAATAAATTAAAAACCAATAGTAAAGTTAAAACTGAGGCCGAGACACACCGGACGCGATTCAACAACGCAGCGTAATTTTTCAGTTTTTGAAAATTAATAAAACAGCCAATGCAAAGAAATTTTAAAAGATATGTAGACCAAATAATTCAAAATGTTATAACGCTTCTAAATATTTGGAAAATTTAAACTAGGATCAAGGTTATCGGTCTGTGAGAATCGCACCACGTTGTCGAATCGCGTCCTGTGTGTCTCGGTCTTTAATATCCTAGAATTTACTGAAAAATGTCCTTGAAAGTCGTGGGAATATCCTGGAATTTCATCTTCACTATAGAAAGGGTGGAAATTACGCTGTACTCGTTAGTTTTTAGCATGTTTTACATAACATGTAAAAAAATTCTTAATGTTTTAACTATCTCGACTAACATGGCCATATATGTGACCATTATATGGTGGCGTTGTCATGTAAATTTCATAATTTTGCGGCATTATTTATTATGTAACTATCTTTCTTCGTCTTATGGAGACGGTTAATTAAATGAAATTTATAGATTTATCTGGCTGGATATATTTTTTATGAGCGATTGATATAGATAGATTAAAGCCTCCGTAAAAATCTCACAACTTGTCAACAAGATGCGTTCGCACTGCTTGCACTTTCCCAGTTGTTAACAAATCTGGAACATTGACCATTTGCGTAATAGACTAAATTTTGATCTAAACAAGTCTAGACAAAAATTTCATCACAGCCTGAAAGAGCATCACAAAATTAGTAATATTCCGAAGTTTCGTTGCGAAATGTTGTAAAATGCCCCAAAGGGAATTGGGCTGTCAATTTCCCGTTTGTAATCTAAAATGACTGAAAATTGAAAATTTACTGAAAAATGTCCTTGAAAGTCCTGGGAATATCCCGGAATTTCATCTTCACTATAGAAAGGGTGGAAATTACGCTGTACTCGTTAGTTTTTAGCATGTTTTACATAACATGTAAAAAAATTCTTAATGTTTTAAGTATCTTGACTAACATGGCCATATATGTGACCATTATTTGGTGGCGTTGTCATGTAAATTTCATAATTTATGCGGTATTATTTATTATGTAACTATCTTTCTCCGTCTTATGGAGACGGTTAATTAAATGAAATTTATAAATTTATCTTCTACTATCAGTAGTCTTTGCAGACGATCACCATAAGGCTAAGGATATAGATTTATACTATATAACTATAGCAACTAATATATATAGTTATGAAATTATTTCACTTGTTCTCAGCGTTTCTAATTTCAACTGGTCAATTGTTGCATAATTTGGCACCTGCGTAAGGGTTAACAAAAAACAGGTTGTTTATAAACTTGATATACAAGAGTTTGATATTTCCTACAAAATACACAAACCAAAACCCTCGACCAAAACAGCGTGTTGAATTTAACCTAGGGTATATAATAGTGGATAACATGAGAGCACACAACCGTTACAATATGAAAACACGCCCCTATACAACGGTTGTAACCAGGTCGCTGGTAAGCTGCATGGTTGTACTATGAAAAACATGTACACTCTACTCCTAGTCCAACCATTACAACACAAGAATATGCATGAAAACTATGAAAACGGAAAGGTGCGCTTTACCACAGGTATCACCTGTTGGCAGTATGGCCGCAGTATGGAACTAAATATTTTCGTCTTTAACAATAGTCCTACATGGCTGGATATATATTTTTTATGAGCGATTGATATAGATAGATTGAAGCCTCCGTAAAAATCTCACAGCTTGTCAACACGATGTTTTCGCACTGCTTGCATTTTCCCAGTTGTTAACAAATCTGGAACAATTAAGTTGTCACCATCTTGTTGATGAGGCCAACCAAAGACAATCCAGAAGACATGTCTTCAGACTCGCAACAAACTGGTCCAACAAGTAACTTGTTACGAACAGCCTGTGTTATTAATCTTGTTGGAACAACTTGTATAGCAAGTCGGTTACCGTCATCAACCTTGTAAGTTGTTGAAGTGATATATATGCATGTATATCAACTTGTTCCACACTTGTCACAACAACTAGGAACAAAAACACCACGAGCTGCATGGGGAACTATCTTGATATCGGCTTGACTATACGAACGCAAGTTTAAAGATGTTGAGAGCAGTTTGGAAACATGCAAACTTCTAAAATGAACAAGCTTTCGTTTGTACGGATGCAACTACCTGAAAAATATATCATTTTTCAGGTAGTTGCAACCCTACCAACAGTTCCAACTGCTAAAATGTATTTTTCGCAACTGCTCCTAGTAACCTCTAGAAATGTATCTAAGTTTGCGTTCAAATATTCCATCTGCAAAAACCCATGCATCTGTATATTAAATGTTCTATCAAACGACATGCCCCAAATCTTGATATTTAACTATACAGTTTACCCGTTTTGAACTTACCCGTCGTTGACGGTCCATGCACCTTGCTGACCAAAAATAGCTGCATGGTATAATGCAAAGATAATGTAACACTACGATCGTAGGCTCCTTCTCATCAAGCTAAAGATGATTAGAGACGGAGGCTACGATTATATTGCCATTGTATCATCTCCGTGTCTTCTCACGACTTCGCATGTCTACTTTCATGGCCATGCATCTAATGCCAATGCTATTGTCGATTGTGGAGATATTTCTCTTCCCTTCATATCAACCAAGTACCGCATTTGGCGGGAGACTCCCACATTTTAGAGCCACTATAATCACCTCCTTCCTCCTTGCAGACAATTTGATGAAATCTTTCGCATTCCTTGCGTTTTACCTGCAACAAGGACGTGTTGGAGTGTTTCTAACGTTCGTTTAATTCATCTTTGTTCTTTAAACGGATAGTTAGCTGAGATGCTTCAACTGTTAAGCAATACCAACAGCTTTAGTAAAATTGAACAATTGATGAAAACAATTACCGCTACACCTGTCACTTAGTCATGTTATCCGTTTGCAGAGTGATGCGTGTTGCACCGCTGAGTAAGGGTTCTCTGAATGAAGTTTTAGTTTCAAGACGGGCTTTCCTAAACGAAGCTCATTCAACAGCTAAAGAAAGCTTCTTGCATACTGGCGATACTGCATACTATTAAGATCTTGCATCACCATCTTTAAGGCGGTTTTCCACTTTAATGGTAACGTATATCGTAGCATTTTCTTTTGTGTCGAAGTCATTTGCAGTTCCATTTAGGATTTCCACAAGTTGCTCGGCACCTTTTTGGCAACTTTTCATTTTATGAATAACTTTTGTTTTAAACGGCAACTTTTGTAACTGCGAGCAACATTTCATGAATTTGACTCAAATTCAAGTTGCCAAAAAGGTGCCGAGCAACTTGTGGAAACCCCTAGTTCCATTCTAGTGGTCAGGAAACAAAGAAATACCGTACGCTTCAGTATGATACGGTTGAAGTGCAAAACGGCCTTTATTGGCTTAGTACTATTTTCCATCCAGCAAACCACCCTATCAATTTTCTAAAGTCGTTTCTTTTTGGATTTCTTTTATTAATTGCCGAGTAGTGTTAGAGTAGGGGTAGGGTTTGGGTTAGTTCCATAGCCATTTAACACCCAGTCTCCATCTTCCGAAAATGACGTCAGGTCAGTTTGCTGGATGGAAAATAGTGCTAACCTAACTTCACAAACCTTAGTACGTTTATTGACAGCTGGTGCCCATCCAGAAAAATCACAAATATTGTACATCTCGGGATCTCCCTCATTTGATTCACAGCACCTTGCCCTTGGCACGTGATACGTGAGTCGGATTGCCTTTCTCTTGTACAGTGTCTCTTGAAGCTTTGTCAATTAGAAGTTAGAACTTACATGATAGTGATGATACCCTGGCAAAATCTTCTTCGCATAGTTCTAGAGACTATAGTCTAGTTATTTGGAGTTGAAAGACTAGACTTACAACAAGTCCGCCTCAGAATTTTTCCCTAGCTTTGCTGAACATGCACCCGCATTGATATTGCCAATTAGGTATATTGGTCACTGAAACGTCGGCATTTTCATCTTGCATTGTCATTGGATTATTTTGTGCATCTGACTCAGAGACAGAGCTAGATCAGTACTCAGTAGATTAACCCTTGCAGCCTGCTATAATATTCATTTTCTTTTAATAAAGTCTGAACGAATAAGGCTGTATAAAGACATTATTTAGATTTTAGACTTACGGTGATATTTACTAGTCATACTAATCTTTTACAGTACATCTTAGCGTTTCCTTCAATCTTCATGCTGAGCACAGATATTTTCTAGTACAATTTTTATAATAATTTGAATAAGGTCTAAGGAATTTTTTGCTATTCTTTGAAGAATACGCTACATGAATGCTTCTTTGAATACTGGAAGACTTTTCACAAAACTGAAAATTAACTTTGTCTTTGCCTTTGCCCTTTGGTTTTGAGAAATATCTATCTTTACTTTATTTCAAATATTCGGTCAGCAGTCGGCTCATAGATTACGGAATACGGGTTGAAACTGGTCGATACAACAATCTTAATTTCATACAGTGATACTGATAGACATTGACATTGTGAATTCAATTCTAAACGAGATTTGGGACGAACGACATTTTTAATGTCATGCATGTAGCAATACAAATCTCATCCAATCTTAGAGTTAATTTTATAAATAATCTTTGACTTCGTCTTTGTAAAATAAATTCTTCGTTCTCTTCATTTAATAATTATCAATACATTTTTACTTATCCATGCATATAAATGATCAAAGGCTATGCAAGACAAAGCAAATATTATGATTGTAGTTCAATCTCATACCCTGCAGAGTCGTGCGACATTGTCATTGACTTTACAGTCGCAAAATACAGTGATAATGACTAATGAGTAATGACTAATGTTCCGGCAATTTTTGAAATTCATTTAAAGTAAAAGCAGGCTATCATTATTATATTATTCCTTATTAATTTATACTTGTGGTTCTTATATATTATGTTGATTAAATATACTATGATATTCTCAGTGTCACTGTCACCGATCATATTTCATAGCTATACAGCAGTATAGGCTATAGCAGACGGACTCAGACTCTTGACTCATTTCATAACTCAAAAATATAACACAACATCTAAGGACTCTCCATCTTGTTTTCACCCTGTTTTTACTGAATAAATATGAACACAACAGATGTCAAGAATTTCCATAACGCGATTATTTGTCTTATGTTTGATATATGATGGCATGCAATGCACCCGCCCCCGAACGTCAGCAGTTTTCTACCACAGTCTCACAGAGACACATTTGCTGGCTTTGGACAAACTGACAAAGTACGTGCTAGTAGTGCTACCACCTTATTCCCTATTTTATGCCAAAAATTACATATATGTACCAGTTACCTGCACTTTGCACCTACTGTTTTAATACCATCACTGCATCGCTCTTCAAACATGCTGAGCTATACAAATTTATAAGCTATAATTAGTATAAATACACAAAGATATATGCTCACCTACCTATCTGACTGCTCGCCTACCGGGTTGACCTAAATTTGAATGAAATAATCTCAATATTAAACAATTAAACTTACCTTATTGAAACAGTAACAGTATGTATACAGAATACAGTGCCAGTGGTTGCAGTCCACCGCTGTTTTCAAATATGCTGAGCTTTGCAAATTTGAACTAATACGAAAATATGTGACTGTGATGCTACCAAGTTAACAACGTTTGTCCTACCTTAAATATTTGAACTCCTGTCTCCTGATCATCCAGTCTTGATGAACTTGTTATTCCTTACAGTTCGCATGTAGGTAGTGATCTGTTATGAGACTATAGGCTATAAAAAGTGGTCTAATATCAGGCGTGCTTGATCATGTTTCTAATTTTCTGTTATTAATTACGTCATTGCATTATTAGTGTGTGGTGATGCATATCAAATTACCATACAGGGTAAACAGATGTTCACACGAGTAACATATTAATTAATAATTAAGCGCACATAAGCAGGAATACGAAAGAAAATTTTACCATTGGGACTTACAAACACAAAGCAGACTGAACTTTCTTTTGAAATGTCCTTTTCCCCTTAGCTTTAAGCCAGTGGCGCCCATTTTTCGGCTAAGTTGCATGGTACTGTATTTCGGCTAAGTCCAGGCTTTCTGGCATCCTTGTATAGAAAAGTAGGACAAAAGTAGGACTAGAATTTTAGGAATAGTACGAATAAAGTAGGAAAATGTGTAGAAAAGTAGGACAAAAGTAGGAGTTTTGGAGATGCAAATAACACGAAAATATACAAAAGGGGGGGAGTTGAATATTAGGAATCTCTAGATCG